AAGCGGAGAGAGCAAAAGGAGGGAAGGCGAAGAAGTGCTTGAGATATTTAGTGAGAGAGTGAGGAGCGTGGTGGAAGAGCAGAGAGGTATTAAAGTTCGCACAGCACCAATCCATTTTTTATTTATTTTTTGAAGTGATGGGTGTGACTGGGCGGGAAAATGGGGTTTCGAATTCGCCCTAGGATTAGTAGTTAATTACTCTGACGCATTTTGTGGTGGTGTTAGAAGATTTGCCCTTTTTGGTTAGTCTTTTAGCGTTGGTGGACAGGGTTTAATTAGTATTTTCAGTGGTATTTAAGTGGGTTTGTGGGTTCCCATATTGGGGGAACATGCACTTTTTGTCTCCCACTTTTAGATTTTTACGTTATTTGAGAATATGATATATTATCTGTTTTTATATAAATAATGAAAATTTTTATATTTAACTTATTAATTTTTTAACATACATATCATACTATTATATGATGACATATGTTCCGGTCACATAAAAATCTTTTATTGTTGAGGCCACTCTCTGGATTTTTTAGGTGTATCCACTTTTTTAATTTAGTTTCTTTTTGCTAAATAACTTTTGAAATTTTTAGGTGTATTCCATGGACCATCTCCTTTTTTATGACTTAATACTAGAGTCTAATAGAATTTTTCTTTACTTGTAAGTGAGAGAGATTTCAAATTTGATTTTCGCTAAAGATAAATTCGAATCACATTATTCTGGCTAACTTATAGTATAATTTAGCTTTCTCCCTCACCCTCTTTGTAGATAATATATTATGTATTAGAAAAAAATAATACTTGAGTTATGATCACTAAATCTTTATAATTTTTTGTGTTTAATCTCTACTGTTTAAGAGAACATTTATATCGTCTAAAAGATGGTGAAAATATTATTTAATTTACCAATAAAAAGTAAAGAAAAACAACCAAAATAAAAGGTATATGCAATATACTAAATTACACACAAACAATTTTGATGTTTTTTTTTTCTCCCTTACATCCAGGTAATCCTCATTTTTCTTCCTCTCCTCCACATTTTTCTCCCATTGTGCTCTCTCTTCTCCTTAACTTCTAACTGTTAAAAACAAATCACTACTCTTAATATATACAGGAAGTGTTATTCGCACTCCAAAAATTTCATCCTACACTCCTCACAAGTATATTTTTCTTTCCTAATATATAAAGTTTGGAGTGTAGAATAAGATTTTTGAAGTGCTCATAACAATTCCATGTATATATACATATATATGTATGTATGTATATTTCTTTCACCCATTGAGTATGTGGCCTTATGCTAATAGCATTTATGTGTAGTTTATTTTGGACTAGAACACCGACTTGCATAAAGCTTAGAGCATCTTTAAAGGAAAGGTAAAAAATCCCACATGGACCCATTTGACAAAAAAATGATGGTTTTCTGGTTCCAAATGAGATACCAAAATCCTATATGGATTGACATTCTCCTACTTTACTGCCAAATTTGAAGGCAGCGTCAATTTTTTGTTCACTTATTAATTATTTTATTATTAAATTTTGACCTACTTGATTTTATAAATAATCAAAAATGCATTTTAACTGAACATCTTAGTTGGAATAAGAACTTTACAAAATATTATTTTGTCACATCAGCCATAAAAATAAAATTTAACAGCTCTACTGAAAATGGTCTTAGCTTTATGCGCTTAGGATTTATTTTGTAACTTGAATAAATTTATAGTACGATATGGCTAGTATTTAAAAGAAAAATTAAACACATCCTCTCTTCTCGAATTTGTTAAAATCCATAATCAAGCACCTACTTAAAATTTCAAACACATGCAAAACATTTTCAATGAAAAAAATAAAGGAAAACTAATGAAAAGGGTTTGGAAACTTTGTTTTAACGATAAGGACAAAATAAAGAGTAAAATGAATACTACAAATTTGATTTTTTAGTGTAAAAATATGATTTTTCGTTAAAACTCCCAAAAAATAATTGGCATTCGGCATGTAGCATGCAGACTTCGATATATGGGATCATACAAAAACAAGTGGACAATACAACGTGTTAGCTATTGGGTGAGTAGATCAAACAAGATGGGAAAATGACCCTTGTTGGATTCTTTCGTGAGGATTATAGGAATCTCGTGATCGTGATTGTTCATCATACATCATGTGATCAGAAATCATTTCAAAATTTAAAATAAATAGTATCTAACAAAAATTGATCGTACGATGTACGATTAATGGTTACGATCACGGAATCCCTAAGATCCTCAAGAAAAAGATCAAGTTCAGACAAAATTGTTCTATCTGATCTTACGTTGCATGTTACTTAATCATTTGCCTTTTGAAAAAAGTTGAAACTTATGACCTCAATATTCCAACATATTTTTTTTTCACACTAAAGTTATAAATTTTCATGTTTATTCACACATGACGCCCGGTTCGTGTAACTTTATAAATTATGAGTTTTGTCCAAATACATTAAGATTAAGTACATACTTGCATAAAGTGGACGAGGAAGTCAAATTTTCATAAAGAAAATGCTAGAGAGGTCATATTTTGTAAATCACGTGATGTGACGGTTAATTATTGAATTTTTTTTAATGAGTTAAAGAATGAATGCAATCATCAGCTGCCACATTATGTAATCTACAAAATATGATTCAAGATGTCAACAAAATAGATGTTTATTTTATAAAGTTTTAGAAGATGGACCAACGATCCAACAATAATTACATGGTACTACCCCAACTTAGAACAACATGTATGAGGGTTTTGCACAAAATGTCTCGGTCCAGTTAGTAGTAGAATCATCCATTAAAGGCCTAATTGAAATACTAGTCCTCATGGTGTTACAATAGTCGAAAGATAGCACATGTAGCAGAAAAATTAAGATTTAAACTCAATTGTGAGTATTGTTAATTGTTTATGGGGATAGAGGTACTCACCTCATAATCGTTCATAAATCCAGCCACCTCGTTCTGTTTTGTCTAAGATTTTCTTTTATACATATATATGTCCTTAATTGAACGAACTTATTTTAATTTTTTTGTTGAGGTGTAAGTCGTATTTTACCATGGGAAAAGTGTAAAGCATTTACATGACAACGTGAATTCAAACTCTATTGTTAAGTAATCTAACAAAATTGATCGTTTGACAAAAAAAAATAATTTAAAAGACTTGTAGGCTTGTAGCCACCTTAATCATTCAAGCATGCGTTAAACTTAAAACGAAGGTAAGTCATTGGCGCCAAAGTAAATATTCCAACTCCATTTCCCGCCAAGTATTTATTTATTTATTTAGGATGGTAGTCTTTATACAATTCCATCATGTCGGTGCTCACTCTTTCGCTGTAAGTCACTGAAACCGCTGCTTTTCTTCACTCTTCCGCCGCCGTTTCTCGATCACTCCGGTTCTCTCTGAGATAAAACCCGTAAGGTTCGAGTTCGAAATTCTCACATTTTATGCTTTTTAATTCAACTTTTTGTTAATTTTTTTGTCTAGTTTGTAATTTTTGTTTTGTAATTAATGTTTGTTCCTCGCTTGTAGACTTTGCAATGGCGACGAAGAATGACGATGCCTCCTCCTCAGCAGACTCTCCGGATCCGGTTCTTGAGGATGAGGTTTGCTTTCACCTCTGTGTTCTGTTTAATCTAACGGCGTTTGTTTCTACATCATCTCTCCGTCGCTCAGTTTTGGTTCGTAGGATAGGATCAATGTGGAAGAATTTGGGTGAACATGTGAAATTTCCGAGTTTTTGTTTTGCCGTTAGACATTGATATTTTGACGCGCACCGTGTGCTCGATCTATTGTTTCAGCGAAGATGTGATGTCTTAGTGGTGTGGTTTATGTTGGATTTGATGAATTGGTCTGAATTGTTTCAATCTAATAGCGGTGATGTTTAACATTTCGAACTTTCTAGCAGCACAGAGGAATTGTTGACGAAAAGAGAGTTCGCGATATGAAAAGAAAAGCTTCCTTAAACTACTATGATGTAAGAGATTCCGTGCTTCCTTTACTTGCTTAAACTTTGTATCTTGTTCGATTGGGTTGGGTTTGTAGATCGTAGTTATACATGGATGTTCTTGTATCGTTGTAAAGTTAGATTAAACTGATATCGTCGTGATTATTATTGTGGAGGGTTTTAGTGGTCTGATTGCTCTTATCTCTTGTGCTAAGTGGCCTATTGAGAAAAAGGGTTCCAAGAAACGGAGGACTTGCAACAATGAATGTGCAAAATTGTCGGAACAAATTGCTCTCCAAGGCGCAATGATGATCGAGATGGCCAACAGGAGATATGAGGGTAACAGGTTAAGAAGTGAGATTAACACGTTAAGAGATGAGGTTGACATGTTGAGATATGAGGTTGACACGTTAAGACATGAGGCAACTCTAAGAGAAATGGAGCTCCAGCAACCGTTAGACCATGTCTGTAGTTACAAACGTTGTGTTCCCTAATTCAAAAGATTTTTGAGGCAGGAAAAGAGGAACGTTATGATGAGAAGAATGCGTGAGAGGAAAGACGGAACTAGCAACATGGATTGTTTAAATGAGTAGGTGATCGTTGATTAGGTTGCATCAATAGACCTGCCCTTTTATTTTCAACTTTTAAGTGCAAATGGTTCTAAATCACTGTAATGAACTGTGTAAGTTGTAGACTGTTATGTACTTTTCCGATGTAGGGTTTTGGCCATTCATATTCATGTTTTGTATCGAGCCACACAACCCCAAGCCATATCATCTGTAACCTATGTACTCCGGTATCATAACAGAAACTTTGACGAAGAAAAAATCATGTTGTGTTGCAGCTGCTTTTTTTGTATTAGTTGCAACCGCTGCTGCATTTACTGGTCAGCAATCGTGTAGTGAGAAAGATAATTGCAGTCCTTGGGAGATTATCCATCGTCATCTACATTCTAGCCTTGGCAATTTTCTGGCTGGGTTGGGTGCGGGACATTTGTGGCTGTTCGATTTTACTTACAATCTCCAAGATTCAGTCACGGACTTGTAATGCGCAAATATTAGAAACTGATCGGAACAATTGATTGTTTAAAAGTCCAGTACATAGATAGCACGCAACCTTTGCCAGAAAATTAATGGAAAAATATACAAACATATATGAAAGGTAGATTGAAGTGTGGATGTAGTTATCTTGGGTTGAGAAATTCCACGGCAATAATCGAATTGCACAACATATCCTTAAGACGGGATACAGAAATTTTCAAATCCCATGTACTCTTGATTCTCCATCTTCTCAACCATGTTTGCTATGCCCACTCCGCCTGAAATATACATCAAAACAAAGTTACGCGTTGTTGAGAGGAAGTGCTTTAGGGCAGTATTAATAAATATACGCGTGTTATAATTCGCGTGATAGTGGTTACCTAAGCTGATTGCGCTAACGAAGATTGTCAAAGCTAGAATGAAGATGATGATGGATGCTCTGCCAAGGACTGCAATGATCTTTCTCACTACATGCTGACCAGTAAATGCAGCAATTGTTGCAACCAAGACGAAATAAGCAGCTGCAGCACAGAGTAAACTTGAAACAATTAGTTTTGTTTTCCGGGTTTATCTGGAGTTAGATTATTGCTTGCTTACCATAGGGGACCGGGAAACGGTTGAGAAGGTAATACTGTACAACTGACATGGAGGATGAGAATAGCATTGCAAAGGTGGATGTAGCACTTGCTACCTGCAATAGAAAATGATATAAAAATTCATCAATCCGGTTTCATTTTTCTGCTTATTTCAGTTGCAGCAGAGATTTTCAGTTCACGACATTTTCCGTTATGATACCCGATTATGTAGGTTATAGATGAAATGCGGCTCAACACAAGCAGTGGATGTGAATGACCAAAATCCCATATCGAAGATGTACGACAACAATCTACGAGTTAAAAGTACGTGGTTCACTACTCGCATCGAACTATACCTGAGGAGGAATTCCCAATTCAAGAAAAAGAGGTCCCAAGATGAAACCGCCTCCCAAGCCAAGTAGTCCACCGACCATACCAGCTACAATTCCACAGCTGCAGTAGAGAAAAATCTGATGCAACTTCCAGTTTGTGATTTCCTTTCCTTTTGATGCGATCACTCTGGTGCCTTTGCGTAAGCATATGGCTTCGAAGAGCGTTACGGAAAGTGCAATTGGTACCTATGTATGCAATTATAAAACAATTATGTTTGAGCTAGCTGATCATCATTGGGGAAAATATGAGTATTAAAGTTCATATTTCATGTTTCTCGAGTTCTTAGGAGAATTCTCATACTTACTACTCGAGTTTTTATCGTTACCTGCAATGAGTTCATGATCCAGAACGTGGTTGAGCAAGTTTCGGTATATGTCTGCATAAAGATTCAGATAGTTTCATTCAGTAACAAAAGTACAAAACCATTGTGCTTTCGGAATGAAGGCAGAGGAATTAAAAATATGAAACTTGTAGCTGAAGAAATCCAAGGTCTACTAGCTATTGACTAGATTGGTAGTAATGATCAGATTAAACCAACCTTAACAATCTGGACAATAAGAAAAGCCACCCAGACATACATGAGCAACGATAACTCTTTCCAGTAAATGTTTCGCGTTATTGGTACCTGGATAGAATTGTTTATAAATTCAACACAACAGCAACTGAAAAAACTTGAAAAATTGCAGATAACCAAGAAATTTTCCGAAAGAGTACTGCGCAAGAGGTCTAATGATATGATTGGGAGTGGGGACTCACCTCCTCATCTTGTGATGAAGCTGGACCACTAGGTAGCGGTTTGTAGTCTTCCCCAGAACCCTCTGCAACTAAGGAGGTTAGTTAGCACCATTGTTCTCAAACATATGCAGATGTATAGATATTGAATAAGTGTTTACTATTATCAATTTTCTTTTGAGTCCTTATTTGGATGTTTGGATGCGACGAATGAGCACTCACCATCCTGTTTGGTCTCCGATTCTAACATAGTTTCTGCTTCCTGAAAGTCAGTAAAACATCAGATTCCTCGTTAGTAGGTTGGAAAGAACACACTCACTGATAGCTCTAGAAATAGCTAAGTGGAAAGGGAAGTGATTTTCATACACTTCTCCTTCTCCACCTCTCTTTATTTCTGTCCCTTGATTGACCTTTGATTTATTCAATCCAAAGGTCAAGAAATATGGGAAGGTGCTAAAAGGGAGAAAAGGGTTATGTGCGGAAATCATTTCCCGTGAATAAATATCTTACCTTCTTCATCATTGTTTCCTTCTTCCATGTTTCCACGCCTTTCATCAAAGCTTTTGCTGCTGTACCTGCCACAACTCGGAAGAATATCTATAAGACTATTGGGAATGCATAGATATATCGAAAAACTTTGATCTGCTTCTCTTTTAGCAGAGTTCATATTCCATTTGATCATATCACTATTCAAAGAAGACAAAACTGATAGAAATCCATGTTCGGAATGTTACTACATACCTAAGAAGAGGATGATAAGTAGAACTGTGACCATCCAATCGGCAAACACGACGTTGAAGGCAACTCCGATGCTGATCCCTAGCATGAGCATGGGCTGAAAGAGCAACGCCAGATCATAATCTATGAGGGGCATGTCCAATGTTGGGTGCCTAAGCCTCAAATTGAAGTATACTGTTGATCCTGCAGCCCCCATTATCATACCTGCATCACCAAAAGGATGCCAAACAGTTGATTCAAGATTAAAACTTTAGATTAACAAAGTTAAAGGAAAGATTGAGAGGTGATTACTGACACTTGGAAATCGCGGTGGAAGACTTGGGATCGAAGCCAACGATCAAGGCGAGCATTGGAACAAAAATTCCTCCACCACCAACACCGCCAACACTACCCAATGCAGCACCAAAGAATCCAACTACTGAACCTACTACAATTTTCCAACCAAACTTCATCTCCTGCTCAACCAAAATATACACATACATGTCAAAATTCAAATAAAACCACAAAAGCCGAAAGACATATCTGTCTTTCCGTCTCTTTCGGTGTGTAAAGAGAGATTGAACAACTCACAGGCCAAACAGGCTGATAAGAAGAACCTCCAGCCTGCCATAGAAAATTAATCACTCTCGCAAAAATTGGTTCTTGCTCAACAAAAATTTCCGCCTTGATGATCTCGTCTTTCAGAGGCCTTTCTGCCCTGGCAACTTCAGTGAATACTGCCCATGCTATTGCTAATGCTGCTGCTCCTGCTGACATTTTTACTGCCCTCTGAGTGAACATGTTTCGAGCCATTCGGGTATAAAAAAGATGAAAATTTGATAACAAGGCAAGGAAGTTATGAATCTCAGAAGCTATTTTCTGTATGTATATTTCTCCAGTTGAATTTATTTTTCAACTCCTCTTAAAATTCGTGTTTTTCAAGTGCAGTGTAGGGGTGGAGGAAAACATGAAGAATGCCTGCTCCCTACATTTATAATTCTTCTCTCTATTTATTTGCATGTCCTATTTACGCTCCCATTTGGGACCCACAAATCATACATACATACATATATGCATGCATGCATGCATACATACATACATACATACATGTAATATATATATATATATATATATATGAGAATTTGATTTGAGCGTGTCGGCATACTGTTACGTGGTGTTACTAATTCACGTGTTATAATATAACTGGACTAAAAAGTTGATATGAAACAATTAAAAGTAAGGTGTCATTAAATAAATTCACGTGTTATAATATGAGTTCATTGATAATATCACGTACCGTTGTTTTTGGATTCTCAATCATTCCAACTTGAAATTGATGAAAGTGAAAGCTGATTGGAGAAAACACCAAATGCACTCTCTAAACTTTGGTAAGCAAACTTTCACATCTTTTGTGTCTTTAATTATTTTATCAAGGATTCAAGAAAATAATAAAATGACAATAATCCCTTCATTTCCTTTGGTAAGTGAGAATTACTAGTTCTTGGTAAATTTAGTGAACCGGTCCCAATTTCTGAATCCCATGTTTTCTCGTCCACAATCCATCATCTTTCTGATCTTGAAGCTTTGTAGAAGTTCAAGTAAGAGGATATGATAATAACAAGTGGGTTCACTCTCCGTTTATGGGATTACAACGATCGACCAATTGACATGACACATAACAAGAATTTTTTATTTTACTAACCATAAATAAATGAGGTTCAGGTTATGTTCTCCCATATATTGGTTTGAATTTAAATAAGTTGAGATATGAGTTAGTGCCCGAGCAAAACAGTGACTAATTAGAAATGTAAATACATGACATCACAAATCAAAACATAGTCATTGTTACTTGTTTTCTAATCAAGTTGCTCTGTTGAAATTTTTGTTATTTTTACCACAAAACAAGAATATCGGCTTCCGAGAAATTTCCGAGAAGCGGCTTCCGAGTAATTTCCGAGAAGCGGCTTCTTTGAAGCAGCAGTGGCTGCACGAACAAGCGTTAGGCGAGGCGGTGGTGCTCTAGTGTCTAGTCTGTCTATATGAAGCTTCATCGCTGCTTCATGGTTTTTGGCTGCTTCTTTGCTCTTTATAATCTCACCCCACAACCACTTCCAAACAAAGAAAATAACGTTTAACCCTACCTTTCAAATGAGAATGAAAACTAATCACGCTATGGATTACAATGCATATTAGTGCGTGAGTAGTTTGGGAGCCAACCTGAAGGCATTCTGGCTCGTTGAAGAAGAGGGACTTACATGGCACGAGTACTATCCACTAATCACAATCTTGTGAAAAAAAAAAAAATCAAAACACATGACAATACGTGATTAACTCACAATACCACAATTCCCGTTCACAATAACAGAAAGTAACAGTGGCAGGTAACAGGGAAAACATATTTAATCGATGCAACGATTGTGGGTGGGCAACGATAAATTTTGCCTAAAAGAAAACCAATTCGGCTTAAAGTTGGACCTCATACCATTCCAGCCCAAAATTAACAGGATTTTCAAGAGAAATAAAATGTCACAAGAAACAATTAATTCTCACAAATGTGATAAAAGGTTTACATAGAGTTGAAATCTCTACCTATTTCCACCAGCACAAACGTTCAAACATTAAAACCACCCAACAACACACACAATATTTCCAACTTAAAGACATCTTCATCGCAAAACATTTAAACACGGTCTCTAAATAGGATTTAGACGAAAGAACGAGAAAAATAATATAGCAATAAGATCCACACTTCTGCATAAGACGCAATCTCGAGCACTGATCAAACCAAGTAGAGTGAATATCTCACCAGTGAGGTCCGGAAGCTTGAGAGGTTTCAAATTTCAGTCTTAATACTCATTGTAGTCTCGAGATAGTGATCTAGATGACCTCTGATAATCTCGCTCGACATCTCCACCCCTCTCCCTTTCACGGGGATCAGCTGGTGCTTGTTCATAATGGTAATCATCCTCTTCCATTCGATCATAGCGATCATGAGCACGGTCAGGATATTGTTTGTAGCGGTCATCATCATGCTGGACATCCAATTGATCATACTGGCTACGATGATGCTCGTAGGGCTCAACATCATCATCTGGCTCTGAGTGCCTATGGCCATGCCCAGGTTGTTCAAACCAACCCTGGTCATCTTCTGGGGCAGTGTGGTCATAACCCCGCTCCCGATCCCCATGTCGGACCCTCTCATGTTTTGATTCAATACGGTCATGCGAACGGCCACGGTCATGCTCAGGTTCCCCAACTTCGTAATCCCTCTCCCTGTCTCTAGAGCGATGATCACGATCACGCTCCCGATCACGGTCTCTGTCTCGATCACGACCATGCTCATAGTCCCGACCACGATCCCGTCCTCGTTCACGAGTACGATCCCGATCACGACCACCACGATCTCTTTCCCTATCCCTGTCCTTGTCCCTGTTTCTATCACGATCTCTGTGGTGCCTATCTTCTCTGTGATCACGATCTCTAGACTTGTCATGGGAGCGTTCACGAGAGCGCTCGCGGGACTTCTCCCGTTCTCTTTCCTTTTCTTTCTCTTTTCCTCTTTCACGGGATTTTTCTCCATCCCTGAAAATCATTTCACTCAATATCAATCACACAGAAAGCAAATACTGAAATTGCATCAATCTAAGAAAACTTAGGCAACACCTACAAAGCATAACAAATGACAGAACAAAAACTTCAAGACTATTGTTGCAAAACTTTTACCTCTCACGATTACCTATCATTATAGCATACAAGTAAAAAGCAGTCCATAACCATTATGCAGCACGTAATTTCTTCTTTTGGTTTTTTATAATTAGAATCCAGTTATATTATTTTTTAAAATTTCGTGTTGAGTTTCACTACACCTAAAACCTTTAGACAGTGTGCACAACAATTTGGAAAATCTTACAAGTCTACATGTCGCTCCTCGCGTGCCCTTGGCTCCTCAGACCGGGGTTGTCCTCCAGATTGTACTTGCTCCCTAAGCAAATAATGATGAATGTTATAGTTAGCAAAGACGCCTAGAAAATTATATGAGAAAACAAACTTAAACAACTAAACACATAGAACTTGGAAGTCAACAAAGAAACAGTAAAACAGTTTAATATTATGCTGAATTACATAATAGGAAGACAAAGAAACTGCTCCTGAGATACACTTAAAAGATAAATTCTTGTAACAAAGTAAGTGTAGAAGCACGTCAGTTTTCCAATGACAGAAGCATGGAAATGTTGGAATCGAACTACATACCTTCCAGAATATCTCTGATTGACATCTTCACCTCCAACTCTGGTAGTTCCAAGCCCACCACCCAGTCGGCGGGGTCGCCAATTAGGAACTGTTCTACCACGTTCAACATCAACAAGTACCCTTCTTCCCTCAATTTTCCTCCCATCAGCTTGTTTGTATGCAGCTGTGACATATACAGCTAGCATTAGAAACAAAGGACCAATCACAAGGTAATTTTTAGTGCATAGTAATAAGGCAAACCTTTCATGTCCCTTGTATGCATGTATTCAATGAATCCATAGCCTCTAGGCTTATTTGTTTCTTTGTCAGTGACCAATCGAACCTGAAATCTCAAATAATAATAAAATTAATAAACCAGATAAATAGACAATTCAGATCTTAAGCAAAGACTGCTCAAGACTAAGAAATATGCATAGATGTTTTAACATTTACAACAAGGCATCATACTACAAAATCTTAAATATTGAATCCTAAATGGCACGGCAGACAGGCACTATGCCTCTTTAGCCGTGCTCACCTTTAAATCATACAGCTTCCATCGCAAGATGCATCACCACCGGCTAGAGTTGCAGAAAAAACGGACATTTGTGGCCAATTTACCAGTTGGATAGACTATTGTCCCCTTACCAGGGAGATTTTTTAAATAATAAAAACTTATAACTACTATTGAAAATACCATGACATCAAGCTGCTGACGTATCTTTTCTGAGAGCCTTTAAAGCCACAAGTAAAAGTTTCAGCAGGAAATGCACGTTACTAAAGTTCAAAGATGAAAGAAATGGTAATACTCCCTACATGATTTACCCAGTGCAGGGAAAAGAACAGAAGTTGGGGACTCCTTTTCTTGCTTGAAATAAAGGCCAAAAGACACAATGCATCACTGCTCTGCTCAACTTATAGTAATCAGCTTTGCTATGCAGGATGAAGCATCTTTGAAGTTGGATAGGGATAAATTATGGAATCAAAGATACCATATGTGAACCAATTACCGCATCTTACCAGGGATAGTCTTGGATGTTAGGACTTAGAAAGAATATATATCCTATGAAAACCCATTTCCAAGATCTCTTAAACAAAACCACATCAAAGAGGGATCTATGAATGGAGCAAACCAATATGAAATTACCATAATACTTGCAGTGACACCTGTGTTAATATAAAGGCTGCTGTGCAGGACGAAACACCATGTTTGTAATCAAGTAGGTAGAAATCAAAGATATTGATGAGTGCTCACTGCTTACCAGGGAACTTCTTCAACGTTAAAACTTAATGCTAATGTCCCTAGAAACACCCAATTCCAAGATCTCTATATTAAACCACTTCAAAAAGAGAGCTATGGAAGGATTTAAACAAACCCGCAAGACATTACTGGTATATTTGCAGAGACACCTGTAATAGTAATACAAATTTGCACCGACTCCACTAACACTAAAACTAAATCAGAGAGAACAAACTTGAAAGGCGTGATGATGCATTACCATTTATGGTAACGGCAACGTTTACGTCAAACAAGTTGGTTGAAAGGTGGATTTTTCAAATTCAGTTTTTCATGGATAAAATTTGTAAATATGTACCCCATATATCTTTTGAAGAAAATATGAAAAAGGAAAACAATCCTGAAAACCCTGAGACTCCAGCATGCTTTTTTAAATTGAAAGATTAGAAAATCTGCAATTTGTAAAGGGAAATAAAGGATAAGCTACAGCACATGTGAACCTCTTACCGAACCCCCTTAGGGTTTCTCAAACAAAATACCTACCCGCTTGATTGGACCATAAACGTCAAACTCCCTTTTGATTCTGCTCTCAGTTGTCTCATAATTCTGCAAGAATACAGGGAAAATCACAAGTCAATCTTAACGAATATGAAGAATACGAGAAGGAAATCCAAAACTATACAAAAAAATGTTACTTACGAGCCTAGCAACAAACAAAGTCTTGTATGGATCTCCAGAAATACTCGGGTCATTATTTGGATCATCTGCACGAAAACCGATGTTAGGAAGACAAGAAAACAGAAACTCCAAGACTCCAAACTCTTACAATCAAGAAAAGAAGGAGGTGATTACATTTCTCTAACTCTTCCGCAGCCTTTGCTGCACCCTTCTCAAGCCTTAACTGGTGTATTCGAGCCCTTCTTTGTGTCTGAATCCCACAGAGCAAAACAGATACATGTCAGTACGAACAAAGATTTCATAACGCTAAGTCCTCATACAAGTGATTCAAGTAAAAACCTTACAGGAGTTTCGCCCTTTCGGACAGGCGGATTATACTCAGGATCTCCAGGCTCCGCAAACTTACTCACAAATTGCGCTACCCCTTCATTATCCAAAAATAAACAAAAACATTAATAAATACTAGTATAAAATTAACAGCTACAAGACAGAAATTAATACCAAATTGAAACCAATCAACGCCCATTTAAGATGGTAAACAGACCTGTCAAAGGTGGGCACTTTTTCTTCTCCGGAGGCGGTTTGAAATCCAACGGCGGTCGAGGCTCAAACAGCTTTAAAAGGTTGGTTGTTAGACCAGTGGGGTGGCTCTGCCCAATCTGCAAACGAATTTTTCCAAATCAACATCCCTTACAAAATACATCCAGAACTTCACAATATTTACAAAATTACCAATTACACACTGCCCAGATACATCGAAATTTGATAAATCAGGATAAAATTACAGAGATAAGTCCAATATTTAACTAGGGTTTTTCTAAAAACAAAGAAAATCGCATAATTAATCAAGCAATTTGAGAATAAAAAACTCGAGCTTTAACAAACGTTTGCGTGAATAGCATAAAAAACCCTAGGACGAACCATCTTGAGCTGAAGAACATTTTGGCGGTTCTGGGCCTTGGTTCGGCCCTGAACGGCGGCGTTTTGGCCGCGCATGAAAGCATCGTTGTTGAAGTCTCCCATGGCGAAGCGATGATCGGATCTGGGCTAGGAGTCCGAGTACTCGTACTCAGATGGTGAAGATTGCATAAATATATGGGCGATTCGGATCCGGTTGCAACAGTCGGGTCGGGGTCGGAGTCGGACTGGTGAAGCCAGATAGCGGCAGCGAAAGTTTGTGAATGGTTTTCGCGAAGGTATTTATAGACGCCAATATTGTGTGTGAGTTTTTTCGGGTAATTACATTATTTTCCCGGTATTTTTTATTCTCATCGGGCCGGAAAAGACATTTTTATTCTAGTCAATAATATCAATGTGCCGATAGATTGTGTTTACGTCAAGGGCGTTTTCGTCAATTGATCTAAATGATTGGTGTTTTAGCTACATATAATTATGATAAAAGATTTACAAATAAGACAAATTTTCAATATATCAAAATATAATCACGAAACGTTATTATTTATATCAAATCCTTAAAATTGCAGTGCTACGTGGCTTCCGATTTTTAGTATTAACAATTGGGGACACATTGGAATCAAATGAATCATGACAAAATAACAGATATAAGCTAAATTAGTAAATAGATAGCCAGGGTTTTTTTTTATTTTTTTTATTTTTTATTTCAAATCAAAGAAAATAGCATAACTAAACAAGCATTTTTTAATTAAAAACTCAGGCTTTAAAAAAAAAAAAAAAAATACTTAAACCTTCACGAATAAGAACAAGAAACCCTAATTAAGGCTAACCATTTTGAGCTGAACAACATTTTGGCGGTTGTGGGCCTTGGTTCGTCCCTGGACGGCGGCGTTTTGGCCGCGCATGAAGGCATCGCTGTTGAAATCTCCCATGGCGAATCGATCGGAGCTGGATTACGGGTATATGAACAGTCCGAGTAATCGTAACCAGATAGTGAAGATATATGAATCCGGTTGAAACAGTCAGGTCGGACTCGTACCAGTGAAGCCCGATAGCGGCAGGGAAAGTTTCTTTCTTTTTTTTTTTGCCCTTTCTGGGAAGGGTTTTCGCGAGGGTATTTATAGAAGCCAAAGTCGGGCGAAAACAAGTGGGATTTTTGATCTGAACACTATACATTTGATGAGATATGTGTATTAAAAAGTAAATTTTTTCACTATTTATATAAAAACACGTGGTATATCATTTGTGTTCCGGTGATAATGAAAAATTTTTCGAAAGGCAATTTTCCTGGTAGTTTTTCTCGTTTGGGGGTAGAATAGACTTTTTAATTTTTGGGTTACGGAAGTGGCAAAGCCCAAAAAAATAATGCAAAAATCATACTGGGTGCCGGCCCATCTTACTATTGTTTTTTTTTTTTTTTTTTCGAACCCATCTTACTGTTGTTAAAGCCTAACGTTTATTAAAATCTGTAATTGAAATTAGAGGAATTGAAGTACAGAGCAATTAGATCAATAAATAATGATTTTCATTGAAGTTATTTACTAATAATATGGAACTGGAGGGTATATAATACTAAAAACTGTTTAACTATTTTTTTTTTTATAATAACAGGGGTGGAAAAAAGCTGAATTTCAATTTGTGTTTGGTAACTAAAGAAAATCCAGCTTTTTTCGAAGTCAAGGCCATTCAAAGCAGAAAAAGCAAAGAAAAGCTGAAGCAGCAAAAATGTTGCTTCTCAAAACCTGATTTTTCAAAGTCAAGGCCTTTCAAAGCAAAAAAAGCAAAGAAAAGCTCATAAATAATGTGAGAGGTCTTAAGTTCGAATCTCATAAATGATGAGTTTGTAACCAATTTATTCCCACGTCTCCTTAGTTTTCATAATATCCTTGTATAAAAACAAAATATGTATGAAATTGGAGCATGCATGAAAACCAGATTCATTATTAAGATGCCCTATGAGATGTTAGGTTAAAATTTCAGAATAATGCGAGGGTAAAATAATAGAATTCATGATTCCTTATTCTTTATAAATCAAAATACTACATCTCCTCAAATAATCTAACGGCTTGTTTGGAAAGTGTTTTTAAATGATTGAAAACATTTTTAGATAAAACATTCTTGGGTTCCAAAAGCACTTCAAGTTCCTTTCCAAAATTAACTTGCATTCCCAATAAATATTTGTTCCAAATTTGTTTGGGAAGTGTTATTAGCACTCCTAAAATCTCATTCTACACTCCTCACAAGTGTATTTTTCTTTCTAATTATAGAAAATTTGGAGTGCAAAATGAGATTTTTGGAGTGCCAATAACAATTCCTATTTTTCTCTAAAAGCGCTCTAAATCATTTAAAAGTACTTCCAAATGAGCCATATTCCTCCAAAATCAAAAGTTTTTATTTTATTTATTTTTATTTTTTAACAAACAATAGTCTCTAAATTAAAGGGGTGGGGGAGTTGGCTAAGCCTTACAATGGGCCTACCATAATAATGTGGTTCAAGTTCGCCTTTAGCGGGAATCAAATCTAAGACCTCTTACTTACAAGTGAAGAGGAATAACACTATATATAGTATTAAGTCGCAAAAAATAATTCCTTATTTTGTGTCGACAACATATATGTTTTGATTCATCCATAGTTAATAATAAACGCATAAATAATTCATAATTGGAAACATGTTATTAATGTTTATACATACTCAATTTAATCAACTAAAGTATGAACTATAACATTTTTTTCATAATGAACATGAGCATCAGAAAAGATCTCCCTGAACCAATGAAAACTCCTAACCAAAAGATAACCAAACAATATTTGACAATATTAAAACCATGAAAAATCCCAAAGCTTAGCATGAAAAATGCAGCAAAAATTATGTTGCTTTTTAATTTCATAAAGAATTAAAAGATTACAAGAAAAACCCACGACATCAACCTCCACTAAACATTCCAATTTGTTAGAAAAATGAGGTTTTTTTGGGCAAAATATTAATTCAGATTAGCAAATCATTTGCGACAAGATCGTTAGTTGCAATTGCACCAATTACAAAATTCGTTTCCTGAAGGATATGCTTAAGCTGAGTAGATTTGTTTAACTTACTTAAAATTTAGATGAAAATATTAGCTTTAGATCCTTCGATTTGAGAATGAAACTTTTCTTAATAATATATAGTGCAAATGATTGTGATGGGAATAAACATAATTTGCCTAAAGACTAAACTAGTGAAATTTAAAACACATTGAATAAATTAAATGTTTGAGCTAAAAACACAGAGATCAAAAGTCTAGGAGGTGCACTACCTCTCTGAAAGATACCATCAATAACTTTATAATTTGTGATGCAAATAATTTTATTGAAAATAAAAATATCCAACATTCAAGGCAATTCATAATAATACAGACAATCTATCTTCTAAGTCCAATGTATTTGTACGGTATAGTACAAATCCATATTTATCAGAGAAAAGATCAAACTTAATTAAGCTAATCAAGATCTGGGTCATTTCAATTAACCCCAAAGTACACAATTACCCAAAGCAAATCAGCCTGCGGCCCGATCAGTGGCACTCCAAATCTTCAATTAACCTCACATTTTTTCAGCTTAATCACAAAGTTCAATGACAAATTAGAACAGTAATCACGTTGCATGCATACATGCATATGATCATCCTTAATTGCTTTCGTATTTACAGTTTTATCGAACTGTGAATTTTAATTATGTCCTTTTAATTCGGTATTGTTGTAGAGCATGAGGGCTCAAAGTCCTCATTTCTTGGGTGTGCTCATTTCTCTGGAGTCATTACTTGAAGTCCCGAATTCACTGCTCCCAAATTCCTGGCTTGAAAGGGCTAACTTTCTGAACTTCTTCATGTCAGCATTGTACGCCTGCGTATCGTAGTCCGAGCTTCCTCCACTGGCGTTGAACATAGAGCTCTTCCCGGGTTTTGTCCCTTCATTTAGATCATCGAGCGATACATCTCCTTCTAGTGCACGTACTATCTATTTCATTCACAAAATAAATATTATGTTATCAAACTGTCAATCTCAACTATTGGTCAAAATGAAATTTAATTTAAATCTTGAGACCACATTAATAACTATGAGTCTATGACAACATAACATGTCTGATATGTATACCTGGCTCATCTTTGCGCGCTTTCTAGCAGAGTGACGGATACTTGCAGCCGCGCACGCGACCATCCGGGCCATCTCATTGGGGTTGTAGTTATTGTCCAAACGGATATCTACTAGCTCCGCGTAATTATTATCCTCTAATGCACGAGTGAGAAGTGGTCGGGCCTGTACATTTGTGTCACATTTTGCACAAAATTAGTAAAACCTTAGTGATCATATACTCTAAATATTAAAAAAAAAAAATGATCAACATTGGAAAGGATAGAGCAAGCAAGTACTAACCCAGTCAACCAAGCTGTCGTCCATTGCATTTGAAGGATCCACTGGTTTCTTTCCAGTTATGAGTTCCAGGAGCATGACCCCAAATGAGAAAACATCAGACTTTTCTGTCAATTTTCCACTTGATGCGTATTCTGGAGCTAAATACCTGCATTATTCAGATGCAAAACCATAATTATATTTGGTAATTAGACCAACCCACTAATTAAGATGAGATTGAGTTATAATTACACAGATTGCTTGCGTAGCAAGCTACTAATAAAATTGATTCATTTTCGTATCTGACATAACCTATTGTACTATTCGAACTCAGGTCTCGAATGTAGGGGTAAAGGCTATCTACGAGAGAAGCTATGTGACATACCCGAAAGTTCCCATGACTCGTGTCGATACGTGGGTGTTATTGTCAGAGGACAGCTTGGCCAACCCAAAATCTGCAACCTGAAAGAACAGAAAAATGAATACATTAAAGGATGATCGAGATGTTGAATGATTTTGGCATGAAATTATAAACATCTTGGGGACTATACCATGGCTTCAAAGTTGTTATCAATGAGAATGTTAGCAGATTTGATATCACGATGGATGATTTTCGGGTGGCCTGGATGCAACTCAAGTTCCAATTAATTAGTAATGATGAGACTCCATATATATGTCAGACATATACAATAGTTAAATAAATGGGAAAAACGATACAAGGGCTGCGACTTTCTTACAATCTTCATGAAGGTATGCAAGCCCTTTGGCAGACCCAACTGCAATCCGAAGTCTAGTTGGCCAATCCATAGGTGGTAGACCCTTTCCTGCAACACAAAGTTTCAAAAATAGCTCAAAAGATGAACAAATACACAACCATTTAAACCAAACTTGTTGATTATCTTGTTGACCGCCTCTCAATTTTCATTTTTATAAAACGAGAGATGATCAACAAAAATGTGTTGGATAGTAGCACTCATAATAGATTAAAGTAAATTGATGAATTTGATATTTTTTTTGTTGATGATTTGTTGTCATTTAGTGTTATCAACAAAATATTGACAATGTACTAGATTGTGTGACAGGGGAATATGCTAAGTGCATTCATACTCACCATGCAAGTGATATTCCATGGTTTTGTTGGGAACAAATTCATAGACCAGCATTCTCTGCTCACCAACAATACAATATCCAACCAGTGACACAAGATGTCGATGATGAACGCGACTAATGATCTCCACCTCTGCTGCGAATTCTCTTTCTCCTTGCCCACTGCCAGACTTGAGACTTTTCACTGCAATTATTGTTCCATTAGGCAAAACACCTTTGTGCACATACCCGAACCCGCCCTGACCCAACAAATTGGCCTGATCAAACCCATTAGTAGCGGCTGCTAGCTCATCATATGTGAAGGTGCTCTTGTTGAAACCAAGTGCCATTGATGGTGAGGGAGGTGGCAATGGGGGTGCTGAGTAATTGGTGCTCACTTCACCGCTCATCGGCATTTGAGGAGGTGTTGAAGCCCAAGCACCACCACCAGGTGGTTGGTTGTTTAGCCTCATCACATGGTCTCCTTGTGGATTATTCATATCGTGCCAACTTTGTTGTTGTGTGTTGTAATAGCCACCACCAGCTGCGCGCATATAAAGTTGTTTTCCTTTATTGTATGAACAAGTCAATAAGTCTATTGCATGTTCTACGATAATTATATAATTTTCTTTTAGTTCAACCATTTCAACGTTTTCCGTATATGTCTTAAGCTCTTTGATTAGCAAGACATGAAAACAAACATTCCTAAAACACATCAAAGAATTCCAAAACTTTCCTAAAACAATCATAATTTTAGATCACGCTTATATGATCTGCCAGTTTATGTGTACATCATACCATGTGGTAAGCTAATGTGGTATGAAAATATGGTACTTCAAGCATTAGCAAAATAATGAATGACGCTAGGGCAAAAAAGGAGAAAAAAACAATGAAAGTTATACATGGATTAATGCATGGGTGATGAACGAGTTAGGGTTTGACACACCTTTAGGAGCATCTCCATAGTACTGCATATCACGTCGCTTTCTCCTTCTCTTCCTGATGCAAACCACACAAACGACGAGCAAGACAATTATAATTACAGCTGCCCCAATTGCAACTCCCGCCGCCCTGCCTTTATTTGAAGATGATGATGTGTCGTCATCATCAGAACTACTTTTTGATGAGGAACTACTAGCACGTGGTGGCGTGAGTGCACCTGAGGGAGAAGTCCGAGAACGCCCTGGATGAGGAGGCGCACTCAAAGTCTCATTTTCAGCATCTGCCGCTGGTGTCTGTTGTGCCGGTGTTGCCTTCCCCGGCGATTCCTTAGCATGAGGTGGAGATGGGGTCGCCTCTTTTGGTGCAGGTGGAGACTGGGAGCCCTGCTTGGGCGGAGGTGGGGATGATGATGAAGACGAGTCCTTGGGAGGTGGCGATGATGATGAAGACGAGTCCTTGGGAGGCGGCGATGATGATGAAGACGAGTCCTTTGGAGGCGGAGATGATGATGGAGGCGGCGAGGACGGTGGTGGTGATGATGCCGGCGTCGAGGATGGTGGTGGCGCCGAAGATGAGTCCTCTGGGGATTCCTTTGGAGATGGACCAGATGGAGATGACTTGGACGAGTCCGGCGCAGGTGGTGAAGAAGATGAAGAGTCCGGGGACGGCTCACTATCAGAAGACATTATTCGTCTCTTGATCAACCTCCGGCCAAGGACTACTTTCCCAAAGAGTTGTATGTTGTGGTGGCCGGAAACTTCACCTCTCCCAGAACTGCTCGTCGCAATGATTGAAGTCCCCTAAACCATGATCAAATTAAACAATATTTGAAAGAACCAACATTAGGTTTTGGAAGATCAATGTATCTCACGACGCATGCAATCATGCAGATGCATATAAGAGAGAAAATGCAAATGTGTAACTTAAACAAATGTACATGTACATGTGCTACCAAGTAAAGATAACAGCATTAGTATCGATCTCCCTCCAGGATTTAAATCCCATGTTCTGACATGTACGTATAACATTAAAAAAGAATTTTCTGAAATTTAAAATCGGATATTTTTGGAGAAAAGTTCGTAAGACCGTCTGGAAATTAAGGGGTGGAAAACAAATAATTAAGGTGGTACCTGGTGATCAATGAAAGAAGGTAGAAGGGTTCTCAAAGGAAAGGGAAAGAAGGTATGATTGCCATGGCATTATGGCCTCCTACAAAGGAGGGACCAACCCCTTAGCTCTCTCTCTAAACCTATCTATCTGTGTAGGCCAGCCCTTAACTTAGCATTTTGTTTGTTATTTCTTTTACCAGTTCTTCTCTCCCACTTTGGCACCTCGCTGCAATCCCCCACATTTGTATTTGCTTTACATTCTTCCCTCACAGCCAACAAATATTGCCTTCAAATTTAGACATTTCCTCCACCCTTCACGCGCTTCTCTTCACACTTTTTATAACTCACATCAACCAACTGAATAACCTACTCAGTAACAAGTAAACACAGCATAAAATGGTACCAAGAATAGTAACTTGTAGGTATTGTGTCCGTATAGGCCATACATCCATTATTTTGTACCCGCTCACCACCTTATCCTCTCTTACACCACGGTAAAAGTTTAATTCTTACACTTCTCCGTTATTTTCTAGTTAGGACACAAATCGGTTAATTTTGTGTATGTCGAGCATTTTTCTATCATTATTGTATTTTCCCTTCCTTCTCATCAGAACAATAGATAGTAATAATATCACTAGATATTGGAAAGAAAAGTATGTATAAGCAAGATGACGATGAAAAAAGCTCGACGGATACAGAATTGGAAGATGTGATTCGTTCTAATGTACATCAACTATATTTTAACAATTTTCCAGAACTGATTTGTTTTCTGATATGATCTTGGCTACGGTTACTTTGAGAATTAAAGAGCAAATTGTATCAATTTGCTGATTAACAAATGAAAACATTCAGCATTCAAAGGACCTTTGACTAAAGAAATATTCAGCATTCATTAAGGTGAAAGCTGATGCCACAATACACAATTGTCAAATGATGTTTCCATGATCCGCATATCATACAGACAGTCAAAACCCAAGAACAAACATTATGACTTGTGGTCCAAGAAACTGATCACTATGACTTGTGGTTCAAGAAACTAAACATTATGAACTTGAACAAGTTTCAACTAACAACTTGTTCATGGATTTGAAAAGAAGTTCGAAATTGAACTTGCAAACAATCATCAAATCATAAATCGAAAATCCAGTCTGAGAGTGGAGGGTGAAAAACAGAAAAAAGGAATACTATTTCACAGCACCGTGGTCGCAGTTTAAGGATGTTAAAAGAAGCTCTAGCTAGCTAGCTTAGCAGAAGGATCCACAGCAAGTATACTGCTCATGTACGAAGGGCGAACGTGCACGAGGTTGTTGACATAAGGAAGATACCTTACATATCCAACATCAGTCCCGTCGCCACTTCTTAGAATTTCAGCCTTCCCTGTCTTCAGATTGTAAGCATAGAGTCTCTTTCCAAAATCAAATATCACCACGTCATTGTTCACGCAAGCCAACGCCCTCAACTCCTTGTTAAAATTGTTGAAAAACTCACGACCAAGAGCAATACTATGCTTCAGACACACGTCCATGTCACCATAGATGTCCAGGGTGTATCCATTCATGTCTTTGCGAGGCAGAAGGTAGCACAGCTCACCATTCATCTCTGTCAACACACCGTGTGGTCCGCTGTTGGGAGGAAGCGACAGAATACCATAATGCTCGTCATTCAAATCAAAAGCCAAAACAGCTCCAGAAGTTTCCCAAAAGGCTACACCCTTCAGAAAGAGCCCGTCACCATTCAACTTCAGAGCATCCAACTCACAGCATTCTGTGTCAGCAAGTCTCCATGAGGATGACCTTGAAGAGTAGATCTCGAAACAGATAACCGGATGATCAGTTAGAGAGAAGGCGCAAACAAGTTGGAAATGTTCTGCAAAATTAAGCACAGAAGGCTCAAAGGCTAGAGCTAGGGCAGGTTCAGGGCCATGATAGAAGTTCGACTTGGGCAGCGCACTCCACTCCCTGTTAGCAGGATTGCAAATGTAGTAGGTGTTCTCTCCATCACAGCTTTGGCAGCAAAGCAGACCATTGCAGCTGGTTCTGACAGTAACCGGTTCAGGCAAGAAGCTGAGGGAAGGACTGGGAACGCCATAAGCATCACGATTAAGAGATACAAAGAAAGGCCTGTCGCCAGGGAGTTGACAAAAGAGGCCAGAGATGTCCCGGAAGCGGTAAGCTTGCTTGTGCATGAAGAAAGGGCTGGTAATCAGCTCATTCCACTCTTTGCTAACAGCTCTGAACCGGGAGAGTGTTTTTGCAGGGAGCAATTCAAGAGCATGCTCTGTAACAACATCTTTGATCTCCATGGTACGCTTGAACCTTTTGTGTCCCGGATATTCCCAAATTTCAAGTACAGGAGCAATCCTTTTGTTGCGATATCCATGAAACTGCAGTAGAAATAACACATTAGAAAGACGCATAAGTAGAGAAACGTTGGAAGGATTAAACTTTAGTCACACAAACAATGGTAAGGCTTTTTCATCATTAAACCAATCAAAGTAGGTGATTGAATTTAAATCGGAAGTATAAAGCAAAGTAGGGACAAAGAGAATTCCTTTTTGCTTTGAATTTTAGTAAATTAGTATAAAAACCCCGACGACCCCTATAAGTTCATGAAAGGAAAAGCCGACCTGCTCAAAGAAATGATTTACGGATTAAGAGTATTAAGAAAACACTACACAGACAAAATGGTATAAAGTTTATCCAAACCTCAACTTTGCTATCCAAACCTCAACTTTGCCAACACAATTAAAACATCTGGTCACATGAAGAATTACAGAACCAAGCAAACAAGGAAAAGGACAACTAATCTGGTAATCCTATATTGCATGAACCAATTTTTATAACCGGATTCTATTTGGAGCACAGCGAAATGAAGCGTAGATAATCTGTTCAGCGTAATTCTTGAGAAGAGCTAGCAAACTGAAGCAAATGTATAGGCTCAAAATTAATGTGATCTATTAAGTAAACATGAATGCAGTAAAAATAAAAAGCAATTAATCAACCAGTGACATACCGCATCGTATCCACAGCGATCCTCAACTTTCACCAAATGATCCGGAGATAGATCACGCATATATTCTTCTTGTCCACAGTCATCGAAAAGTTTTTCTTCCTCAGAATAATCAGAAGTGCATTTATCAATGATGGTAAACTCCTCACTTCCCTCAGAAATCGCCATTTCTGCAAAAAACGAAGAAACCCAACTTAACAAGGACACCAAAGATAAGAACCCAAGGACACCAAAGATAAGAAACCCCAAAGAACAAACCAAAGTTGGGTTTTCTTGTTTCATGGTAAAAATTGGTTAATTCTTCGAAAATCAAATTCAAATCCATAACCCATTAGAGGAAAAAATGGGTTTGTCAGTAAAAGTCGGCCACTTTTTCCGAAATTCAAATCTAATCCCAGAACATAATCACATTGAAAACAATGGATTCTTTCATTTTCTTGGGCTTTCTCAGTAACCAAACAAACGAAACGAACGAAACAGAGAGCGGTCTCTGAAAAACCCAAAACCAATTAGAGGAAAGAAATGGGTTTCTGGGTAAAAATTGGTCATTTTTTCAAAAACCAAATTTAAATCCAGAACACCATCAGACCCAGCATTCTTGCATTTTCCTTGGCTTTCTCATAAACCAAACAAACGAAAACAGAGAGCGTAAAAAACACAAAACAAATAAACCCTCGTAAAACAGAGAAATTCAAACAAAATAGTCGAAGCCATCGTAAAGGGCGTAAAGAACCCATTTCATTCAACCCTAAGAATTCAAGGTTATTACACAAAAAAAAAAAATGTGAAGAAAAAAGAACCATAAAACAGAGTAGCGCTCTGCCGATGAATTGAGTTTTTTTCATTTCGTATAAACGTATACAATTACAATGTGTGCATGCGAAACTTCTAAATGCTTCGATTAAACCCAGAAAAAAGAAAAATACGAGAACTCACCGTCGTAGCCGCCAGAAACCGCCGGAGATCGATCGCTGCTTTGAACTTGAACCTGAGAGTAGTTAATGGCCGTCCGTAGTTTTTTAGTCTTCTGGGCCAGGGACTTATATGGGGTCGGTTGGACTTCCAATGGTGTTTTGACACGTGTGTGCCTTATATTAATTGAGTTGATGACGTGAGCTACAAGTTTGAGATTCATTTTTGCACCGGGTGAACCTATCTGATCGCTGATCGTTATCGTCTCCTTTTTTATTCCCCCTTTTCCCGGTTTTTTCCTACATGGTCAGCACAACCAACACAAAAGAGCACCTACACAATGAGAGATTTTTCAGTATGATCGTCACACGAGATGGTACATTACGTGTCTTTATATAAATGGTGGGATATGTGTGTTAAAAGGTTAATAATTTAAAAATTAAAAATTTTCATCACTTACATAAAACACGTGATGTACCATCCATATTTCCGTCACAACTAAAAATTTCTCCTACACAAGAAGATAAACAAAAAAAATTTACGAATTTCTGAAATCCTCACAAAGAGGAGCTGCAAAGGATCCTCGTTCGTTCAAATCTACCAAATCACTAAAAAATAATCCCACCACAACCACAAACAGTAGAGGAGGGGCTCAGACTTATTCTTAAATTTCTTTACTTTTTATGCTTTTGTTTATGTTCATTAGCTTGTAGTTTAAGTGTATGTGCTTTCTTTTCTCCCATTTGACAAGAAAAAGTGTGTGTATTATTATCAAACAAAAGGCTATATCAATTGGCCTTCCGTAGTTTGTTTATTATTTTGCATGTATTTTTTATTTAATAGTAAAACCATAGTACCCATATGGAATGGAAGAATAATTAGTTTAAAAAAAAAATCACATAGTTGCAGTTTTGAACCATGATTATTTTTTACTTTAATATAGTAATATTTGTTTTAGCAAAACTTACAAACAAGTTGAGTGCTTATGATCTCAATTCTCAATGTCATTGTTTTTTTCGTGACTCAACTTGCCTCTTTTGATCAAAATTTTACCTTCCAATGCAAAAGAAAAAAAGAGCCTTCGACTTTTATCCTATTAATTATATTATATTTTGCCTAATGTTTTCATATGGCCTCGAGACCTCTTCTAACCTCGATTTCTATGATCTCAAGGCTCGTTTACTAATCCGTAATAAAAATGGGAGGCATTGAATTGAGGAGGAATTGAATAGATGAGGAGTTGGAATTGGATTCCTGTTGTAACTGTTTACTAAAATTATCTGGAATCGGAGTAAAAATAGTATTGATTTCGTATAAGTTGTTTACTAACTTACTAAAATCAGAATACAATCCAATACAATTACTAAAATGTCCTTATCGAAAATAATAAATTGTATTATTATTTAGGGTTAATCTCAATTTACTACTCTAAAGTTTCTTGGTTTTCAACATTTGGTACATTAAGTTTTTTTCATCCCAGAGTCATAACTCAAGTCTTAATTTTGGGATAGTCTCATACATCCGTTAAGCTTGCTGTTAAGTCAGCCATTAATTGATGATGTGGCACCCACGTGGACAATGATTGTGTGCCACGTGTCATTAAGGGTCCACGTGAAAAAAAAATTAAAAATTAAAAAAAAAAAAAATTGTCGGCCTCCCCCGCTCCCCTCCCTCCCTTCTCTCCTCCAAGCCCACCTAACCCTCCCTCCTTTCTCTCTCCACGGCCGCCATCGACGTCACCTCCCGCTGGCCCCAACAACCTGATTCTCGTTGTCCTTGGCACAAATCGAAACTCAAATCAAAATACAGATTCCAAATATACAAAGCAACCCTCAACCTTCTCTGCAATAGAATCCCTCCATCCATTCAGGTTCTGAGATTACTCGAAGCCTCGAGAAATGACTGTCGCGCTCATGCCTTCGAAAAACGTAGAAATTCTTGCTGCCATCATTGTGAAAAGCTCAGAGAGTCGGGATTGCATGCCCAAGTCCCAAAGATCCCACCACCATTAGGTAAAAATGCATCTAGTCCAAACCATCAGATCCATGCTCAATCCATGGATCCCAATATAGAACCGTCAATCGAAGGCTGAGTTTGTTTTCCTATGCCTCTGATTTGAGTTAATCTAAACCATGTGATTGTTTGAGAACATTGAAAAATTTGGAGTGGTGTTTTTCTGTGACGCACCTCCGCCACACCTCCCTTCTCGCAACGCCGCTGTTCATATCTTCGCCAACTGAAAGCCTCGAGAGAGAGATGAATGAGGCTTTCTCTCTGTTATCTGTATTGAGTGGTGGTAAGTAGGGCCATGGGTGGTGGTAAGGAGGGCCCTGGAAGATAAAAAGAGAAACTGAGATAGAGGAGAGAGGAAAAAAGAAAATTCAGACTTGGGGGGAGGTAATCAAGTTGTTAGGGGCGACGGAAGGTGATGCCAGTAGCGACCATGAAGAGAGAAGGGAGGGAGGGGGAAGGGGAGGCCAACACTTTTTGTTTTTTTTTTAATTTTTAATCTTTTTTTTTCACATCGGCCCTTAATGACACGTGGCACACAACCATTGTCCGCGTGGACGCTACGTCACCAATTAACGGCTGACTTAACAGCAAGCTTAATGGATGTATGAGACTGTCCCAAAATTAAGACTTGAGGTATGACTCTGGGATGAAAAAAACTTCATGTACCAAATATTAAAAACCAAGAAACTTTAGGGTAGTAAACTGAGATTAACCCTATTATTTATATACTAATTAATAATAATAAAATTATTTATTAAAAGAGAGAAATAAATAAATAAAAAAAATAAAAGAAACCCTAATAATCTTATCTTTTTCTCTCTCGTCAAAAAAAAAAAAAAAAAAAACTTATCTTTCGGTTCATAGAAACCTACTCCTCATCGCCACTGTAACTCTCCCTCTCAATCCATTGCATTATGATTTCAAGATTATCTGTTTCAAGTTCACGGCATCTAAGGGCAAGTGGATTTGGGTTGGGTTGATGGTCTGGGGTGGTTCAGTGGTCAGGGAAAGAGTGGCATTGCACATGGGCGCTGGGCAGCAGAGGATGGATCTGCTCTGGTAATGCGAAAAGTAGTGTTGGAATTTTGAAAATAAAGTGAGGGTATAATTTGTTGAAGAATTGCATTCCGGATTTCCCGTAACACTTGAAATTGGATTATCACCTATATCTAAGGAATCCAATTCCACCAATACTAGGAACTGAATTCTAAAATTTGTGTGGGCCCCACTATTTTTTATTATTATTTCTCAATGTTTATTAAACACGTCATTGGTTTCTTCGTGACTCAACTACTCTCTTTTGATCAAAATTTTACATTCCAATACAAAAAAAAGAACATTCAACTTTTATTTTATTAGTTATATTATATTTTGTATAATTTCTTCATATGGCCTCGAGGCCTCTCCTAACCTCGATTTCTACTTCGCCCCTGACCACAAATCCAACCTCAACGCAGGATCTAATCCGAAATAAGGCGTAGAGATGGGATTTGGAAAGAATCTCCATTAAACATGGACAATTGCTGACAAGGGTAAAGAGATAGGGAAGGGGAAGTGCAGGGTGGTGAAAGAAAATAGAGGGAAAAGCGTAAAAGGAGGAGGAAGTTCCGAACTCTCACTTCTCTCCTTAATAATAATAAATCTGTCTTAAGAAAAACATTTCACTAGGGTGAGCGTCTAATGAGGATCGGATCCTCAAATCATGTCCGTTCATCGTATATCGTGCATCCAGTTTTCGTCAGGTACTATTCCTATTTAATTTTAAATAAAAGTATTTAAAATGATTTCTGACTGCACAATGCATGATGAACAGACACAATTTGAGGATCCTATAATCCTCACAAAGAGGATCCGGATCCTCATTCGTGAGCGTCCTAGCACTTTCTGTAATTCCAAATATTTGTGTTTCGTTGGAGCTCACGCTTCTTTCAACCCCAACGCTAGTTTAAGGGTGGTTTTTTCCTTGTCCCTCTCCTCATTTGATTAAAAAGAAAACCAACTTCTTTCAACCACAATGTCGGAAGATGTTCCGAGTTCAAATATTCCGTCATTCGGTGACAAAAAGCCACATAAGAAGATAAACAGAGTTTCCACTCAAAGTCCAAAGTTGAGAAGCGATGGTTCCAACATGAAGGAGACCCATGGATTTCCAGGGAGTTTCTGTCACTGATTTTCTTTGGCGTCAAGTCAATACCTATTGTGACATTTTATACAAAAATGTTATTGTCACTGCTCAGCAATTGCACAAAAAAAGCACTTGTGAATATCAGCAATTTTAAACCACCAACAAAAAATCATTGGCGTTTTCGAGAAGCCAAAAGAAACAGAATTCCCAAATTACCAAAGCTAACATCAAGCACCATATTATTTATAAACACAATATCAGTTGATGGAGCAATAGCACCATCTGACAAAAGCACTTGTGCATCAAGGCACCAGGTCCAGAAAAAAGCCAATGAGAAATAAGAACTTCGACACAAACTTAAAACCAACTCGATCCAAACATAACCACCTAATAAAATGGAAGGCAGACAGAACTAGATCTGCACAAGGCTGTTCACATATGGAAGATACCTTTCATTTCCAGCAGCAAGCCCGTAATCAATTCCTTTCAATACTTTTTCCTCCGGGACTTTCACGTGATACGCAATCACCCTCTGTCCGACAAGAAGTATCATCAGATCATCATTCACACAAGCCAATACCCGAAATGTGTACATATAAGAGGAGAAACTCTGGCCAAAGAGAATAATCTTCCACTTCAGGCTCATGTCCATGTTACCATAGACCTCCACGGAGTACAGACCGAGTTCTTCACGAGGCAGAATGTAACACAGCTCTCCATTCATCTGTGAAATAATACCGCGTGGTCCGGTGCTGAAGGGGAGTGACAGAATACTATATTGCATCGCCTTCAAGTCAAAAGCCAGAATGACACCCGTTAAAGTTTCCCAAAAGAGTACACCCTTCAGAAAGAGGGTATTACCTTCCAACTTTGTAGCCTCCAGCTCATAGCATACTGTCTCGGAGAGTTCCCAAACGCTTGACCTTGAAGAGTATATATCAAAATAGACACCCAAATGATCGGGTACAGAGAAGGCACAGACAAGTTGAAAATGCACTTCAAAGCCAAGCACAGAAGGCTCAAAGGCTAGTGCCGGATAAGACTCAGATCCATGATACAAACCTGAATTGGGAAGCTTTCTAAATTGCCTGTTCACAGGG